ACGCTGAACCTTGTCCTTAAGGACAAGTAAATGAGGGTCCTCATACTGCTGCTCCCTGATACGATCAAATAAGAAAGACCGGGAAACCACACAAGCTAGAACCCGACTGGGCTCTGAAAGATCCAATCTCACAAACTGGCTGGCTAAGGCCTGAACATCCATCGCCATAGGCCTCTCTGAAGCTGGTAAATATGCCAAACTCCCCAAACTCTCCGCCCAGCGACTCAAGGCATCCGCCACCACATTGGCCTTGCCCGGGTGATACAGGATAGTGATGTCATAGTCCTTCAGCAGCTCTAACCACCTCCTCTGACGCATATTAAGATCCTTTTTGCTTGAGTAAGTGCTGCAAACTCCGATGGTCAGTATAGATCTCACAAGGCACACCGTACAAATAATGACGCCAGATCTTCAAGGCATGAACAATGGCAGCTAACTCAAGGTCGTGGACAGGGTAATTCTTTTCATGTATCTTCAACTGTCTGGACGCGTAGGCAATCACCCTACTGTCCTGCATCAACACCGCTCCAAGGCCAAATCTCGAGGCGTCACAATAGACAGTATAAGACCCCGAACCGGTAGGCAACATCAAGATTGGGGCTGTAGTCAAAGCTATCTTGAGCTTCTGAAAGCTCGCCTCACACTCTTCTGTCCACTGAAATAGGGCACCCTTCTGGGTCAATCTAGTCATAGGGGCAGCAATATCGATGAAAATCCCTCCACGAAGCGACGGTAGTAGCCCGCCAAGCCAAGGAAACTGTGAATCTCTGTAGCTGAGGACGGCCTGGGCCAACTCGGCACGGCCTCTATCTTCCTCGGATCCACCCGAATACCCTCACTCGAAATCACGTGGCCTAAAAATGCCACAGAACTCAGCCAAAACTCACATTTTGAAAACTTTACATATAACTTCTTCTCCCTCAAGGTCTGAAGCACGGTCCTCAGGTGCTGCTCATGATCTTCCCGACTCCGGGAATACACAAGTATATCATCAATAAAAACAATAACGAACGAGTCAAGATATGGTATGAACACACTGTGCATCAAATGCATGAAAGCTGCTGGGGCATTGGTCAGCCCAAATGACATAACAAGGAACTCGTAATGACCATACCGAGTCCTGAAGGCAGTCTTCGGGATGTCTGGCTCCCGAATCTTCAACTGATGATAGCTTGAGCGCAAGTCAATCTTAGAAAACACCTGTGCGCCCTGAAGCTGGTCAAATAGATCATCAATACGAGGCAAAGGATAACGGTTCTTCACTGTAACCTTGTTCAGCTGGCGATAATCAATACACATACGCATAGAACCATCCTTCTTCTTGACGAACAAAACAGGAGCACCCCACGGTGAAACACTGGGTCGAATAAAACCCTTACCAAGCAATTCCTGTAACTGATCCTTCAACTCCTTCAACTCAGGAGGAGCCATACAATATGGAGGAATGGAAATGGGTTGAGTGCCCGACAACAGATCAATGCCAAAATCAATGTCTCTATCGGGCGGCATGCCCCGAAGATCAGCTGGAAACACATCGGGATAATCCCGTACCACTGAAACTGAATCAACAGAAGGGGTGTCAACACTGACATCTCTCACATAGGCTAAATACGCGGCACACACCTTCTCAACCATGCGCTGAGCTTTAAGAAAAGAGATAACCCTACTGGGAGTGTGATCTAAAGTACCACTCCACTCAATATGCGGAATACCTGGCATAGCCAGCGTCACGGTCTTGGCGTGACAATTAAGAATAGCAAAATGGGGTGACAACCAGTCCATGCCCAAAATAATGTCAAAATCCACCATACCGAGTAACAATAAATCCGCTCTGGTCTCAAAACCACGAATAGTAACCAAACATGACCGATAAACGCGGTCCACAATAAGAGAATCCCCCACAGGAGTGGAAACATAAACGGGGGCACTCAAAGAATCTCGAGGCACACCCAAATGCGGAGCAAAGTAAGAAGACACATAAGAATAAGTAGAGCCCGGATCGAATAGAACCGATGCCTCTGTATGACAAACCAGTATAATACCTGTAATGACGGAGTTGGAGGCAACAACCTCAGTACGAGCAGGAATAGGATAATATCTGGCCCGGCCCCTCTCTCGAGGGCGACCTCTATCTCCCCGACATCCGCCCCTAGCCGGCTAGGCAGGTGGGGTAGCAGCTGGAGCTGTGATCATGGCCTGGGAACTCTGAGGAGCACGCTGTGGCTGAGCAGTCTGTGAAGATGCACCCCTACCAAGTCTGGGGCAGTCCTTAACCATGTGGCGTGTACCACCACACTCGAAACAAGCTCTGGGAGGACGCGGTGGCTGTGACTGACTAGAGCCAGGTCTGCTGGACTGGCCTCTGGAAGCACGCCGCACAGGAGGCGTGCTAGAAACTGGAGGTGCATAATAAGGCTCCTGAGGTGTAGGTGGAGCTGGAGTACTGCCGGCTGCTGGAAGAGCTGAATGAACAGGGCGACCCGCATAACCACTGCCATAACGACCTGCTGATGGGGTACGGGCACCAGAGTAGTGACCCGACTCTCGAGACCTCTTGTCCTCCCTCTCCCCTCGCTCCCTGGCGAGCATACCCTCAATCCTCCTAGCAATGCTCACTACCTGCTGATAAGGGATGTCCATCTCCAACTCTCGAGCCATGCTAGATCTGATGGGTGGGATAAGACCCTCAATGAACCTGCGAAACCTCTCCCGAACTGTAGCAACCAAGGACGGTGCATACCTGGCCAATCTGGTATAACGAATAGCATACTCCGAAACGGTCATAGCACCCTAGCGCAAATGCTCAAACTCTGCGCGCCATGCATCCCTGAGACTCTAGGGAACAAACTCTCTCATAAACATATCCGAGAACTGGGTCCAAGTCAGTGAAGCAGCCTCGACTGGACTGTCTATCTCATAAGTGCGCCACCAATCATAGGCGGCTCCCCGAAGCTGAAAAGCAGTGAAAGAAACCCCGCTGGACTCCACTATGCCCATAGTGCGAAGAATACGGTGACACTCCTCTAGAAATCCCAAGGCATCGTCTGATGCTAATCCACTGAACACTGGGGGATCATACTCCTTGAACCTCTTAAGTCTCCGCTGCTCGTTCTCCGAAGCAGCTGACCCATCCTCGGGCTGAACTGGCGCTGCAGGCGGTGCGGGAATAATCTCGGGAGCCTGCTCAACCTGCACTCGCTGCTCAGGAGTGCGGACGGCGGGAGTCTGTGCTCCTCTCACTACAAGAAAAATGGCTTTTAGCGAAGGGAAATCCAGTCGTTAAAAGTTCAAATCCAGTCGCTAAAAGTCAATAACGACCGAACAAAATCCGGTCGTCGCCGGTCGCTAAAGGCTTTAAAAGTTAACGACCGGATTAGAATCCAGTCGTTAAATTCCTTTAACGACCAAAAAATTTCCAATCATTATTCCTATTTACCGACCGGGTTTCCCTTCGCAAATTGCAAAATTTCCCTTCGCTAATGCACATGTAACCATTTGATATTCCTGTTGTTAAAGAGTTTTAAAGACCACATTTTCCTTCGCTAATGTGAAATTTTAATAAATATAATTACACTAATTTTCCCTGTAGTTATCTAATAATAATCATTACCATATGTTTTCTCACACACATATATACAACAACCACACATCTAACAATATACCAAATAATCAAAACTCATACTCTATAAAATTTCATTGTCATTACAAAGAATAGAAGGATCACACTGTCTATAAATATACCCATCCAAATTACATGACACTATTTTTATCAACTCCTAAAAATAGACAGCAGAACTATAGCACGATGTACAAATAACATCTATAAACCACTGCGAACAATGACAACATCTTTAAACCACAAACGGAACAAAAATACTATTATGCTTCAACTTGCTCCGCACATTCTTCAAGGATAGATTCTTCAAACTTCAAGTTCTTTATCTTAATCTGTTAAAAGAAGAAGGCATGTCACATTAGTGAAAAAACTCCTACTAGCTACTTTATTTAGAAAATAAATAAATAAATTAATCACCAAATCAACTAAAGAATTGGAGCAAATATTGTTAAATTAAATTGATGCGGCCAATGAAAAGTTTTAAGAAGTTTATATTTTATGTTCAAGTATGATGAAATTTAGACTTCAAGCCAGAGAAGTTCTGAAATTTCAAGGCAGAGAAAGGTTGATAATCTGGCTACTGCTTAAAAAAAAAAAAAAGTACAGCAAAAAGCAAGTACAAAAGCCCATAATAAATAGAACGAATCATAAATGACCAATACTGGAAAAAATGTGAAAGAAGTTAATTATCCATCTTTCCTTCAATTCAATGATACAAGATATGAGTAAATTCATTTACAAATACTCTTCATGTAATAGTTGATAGACACTTAAAATTTGAATAAAAAACAACACTGCTAAGATGTTGCTTCAAGAAAACCTGCATCCAAATTCCAACTTAAGTACTTGAGAATCTCTGTCTCTTACTGATTTAATACATGTTCGTAATCCATCAGCTATGCCTAAATCCCAAATTAGTGAAGGTCTGGCTATATGAATCCTTTGTTCGTAGTTTACCTATTTGGCTATTTATACATTGTTGATCTATTGCAATCCTACTTTTTCTCCGGGTTTCAGACATGCTGTGCTTTGACATAGGTGGAGATTCTTTTATACCCAAATTAATCCCAATGTTATGAACCATGGATAATAAATTATCATTTCATTATATGTTGTTCAGCCAAAGATTTTGCATTTACAATTAGGAGTTCACAAATTCTCGCATTAGTAGCGTTTCGGTATATACGCATGCTTACGAATATTTTTGGCATGCCACTCTTTATACAATAACATACCTAGCATATTCCCACATGTGGGGTCTGGGGAGGGTAGTGTGTACGCAGACCTTACCCCTACCTAATGAAGATAGAGAGGTTGTTTCCATTAGACCCTCGGCTCAGAATAATAATTCAAAAGGCAATATTAGAAAATAGAGAGCCAGAAGAAATTGCAGAGCTCCTTTCAGTTAATGATACATCACCAACAAAAGACATCCAGAACCATCAGTAAACTATGATATATGTTGGAAAGCAAGATAATACATCATCCACCTCAATACCAAAACATGTCAAAAGTAGTATATTTCAGGAAATTACCAAAAAGCAAAATGAAAATTTTACAAAAACATTAAGGGGGTGCATAATGGGGATGGTGGATTTAGTGCGCATAAATACCTATTCGGAAGTGAAGGCAGCAGAAAGGAATTCTTCATCCTCTAAAAATATTTGCAGATTCTTTGTTTTCATCAAGAACCCAACAGTTGCCTGATCAAATTCCAGGATGAATCCCAACTTGATCAATTCAGCCAGTTGGTGCACACAATCATCTTTCTGCCTTAGAATTCCCTCGGCAACTACTTCTGAGAAATATGTAGCAAACTCAAGCTTACATCTGCAACCACCTTATTTTTCCAGCTTTTGTATAAAAATCTTTGCATTTTCTCTATCCCAGCACATCATTCGGCTCACTTTCACGTTCAGGAAATCACCAGAAGAAAGTGACGGACAGTAATCCATTGTTATTTGTTCTGGTGTCGCAAAAAAGCTAATATCCACGAGGCTTTTGAGAGCTCCATGTCTCGTACGCGCTTCCATTTGAAGTGAAGGATCAGCAACGAAGCCAAGGATTAACTTAATCAAACCCTTTCCGATGAAGATTTCCTTCGGCTGCACCTGCTCAAGTCCAACACAATTAATAGAAGACAAGCCATATTTCAGAACAAATTCAGACAAATTCGGAACACCAATTTTGCCATAAATTTCAAGCAGCTTCTGCCGAGGTGAAGATGGCAAGCTTGGTTGTGGATACCAAATAAACAAGGGATGAGAAGAAGACTGTTCAAATAAATCATTCAGAAAGAGATCATCAGCAATAAAAACATCACGTTTATCAAGGAACAAAAGTTCGTTCGAGTCTGAACCCACAGGAAGTTTTGACAAGTTCTCAGATAGAAATTTCTCGGTTCTTGAGCTCCAGTGCTTCACAATGAACTCCCAGAAGGTTTGACACTCTGATTGTGACAAACTGCGGTCCGCATTTTCCCAAGACTTCCAAAGCTTGAGAAAATCATCAAGAGAAGGATTGCTTTTGACACCTAATTTGGAGAAGAAACTGAGCAGTTCCTTGTCATAGTGCTTCTCTAAAACATGCAGCTGCAGGCCAAAGAAACAACTTTTGTCGTGCAGAACACAATCATCAGGATTTACCCACTCTCCGTCGTTACCAGCATTTGGAATCCATATGTTTCTAGGATCTTCTTTAGTTGGTTCCCAGTTGAATTTACTCAAGTACTTGTAAATCCGAGTGATAGTAACGCAGCCGGAGTGCCAATACATGCCACACTCTTTATTTGACCTACAATACATGCTACTTGGTGCTAATGATGGGTAAGTAGCACATGTTAAACTTGAATCTCTTTGATTAAACCAACTAACTACTTTGTAACATGTAACAAGGAAGAAGTAGCTCTGTTAAAGCAAGTAATAACCTCTTCATTTAGAAACATCACCAATTATCTTTACAGTTAGAATATGAGACACTAGAACCATTGTTTACTAATCCAATATGACTTGGTCGAATTGGAATGCTAACTCAGAAAGCTTAAACTTTAACAACTTCGAAGTAACAACAACAACAACAACATACCCAGTATAATCCCACTTGTGGGGTCTAGGGAGAGTAGAGTGTACGCAGACCTTACCCCTACCCCGAAAAGGGTAGAGAGGTTGAGAACAACTTCGAAGTAGAAGCACGATAATATATCAGGTGAAAGTGAGTGTTTAATGACAACAATTCAATGAAACATACAAAGTTTTTGAGGAATTTAAACAAAAAGCTTATCAAAAGAGCCCTGGCGAATAATGGGAACTAGATTGTCCAATAAATAAAGGACATAAAAAATTAATGTTTCAAGAAGAAACTTTCTGCCAAGTACATAAGTTAACGTTTTATTGAAACAAAAGAAACACAACGATTGTGCAGTGAGTAAACAGAATCCTTATAAAAGTGACAGTTTCCATATCAAGAAATCTCACAAAAACTCAGTTCCAATCTAATCTAAGATGATAGGAATGGAACTTGTATTTTGTACTTCTAGAGCCTTGACATTTTAACTCGACAGTCCTAAGAGCTAAACCAGCCCAAAGAGACATCAAGTAAAATTTGAGTTTCAGTTCTAAAATGTTGCAATGCGCTAATATGAAGAGCAAAAGGAGAGCAATCAACCACTCATTGTGTGTGTGTGTGTTTGGAGGGGGGTAAGCAATAGCTCAACCAATATAGCTGTCTATTGAATTATCCACTCATTTCTTATAAATGCAGTAGCATAGACAAATAACATACCGCAGAGAGAAGTTGCCGTGACTTGACATCCCAAATGCGTAAGTAGCTGTGTTAAAAAGGATGAAGAATCCGAACCTGTTAAGATGTCGATGCTCCAAGTCCAAATGAAGTCTTTCTCCATTCTAAACCATTCTCCTCAAGCAAGACTTCCAAAGGCTTTGCATCCCATAAAATGATTTAATTTCTCTGAGCTCCTGGTGTGCACACACATGTGACATACCCATATTTAAATATGAAGATTAAAGATTGAGTTTTAAGTTAGGAGTATTACAGGATTCACCTTCTATTTGATTTTTCAGAAATACCTTTCCCTTCATCTAATTGGTATATGCTTGTTTTAGTATTATACCATAGTGTTTGAGATGATATAAGTTAACTGGCTCCCGAAACATGTGACACTATGCTCTTTTATCATAGCAAAATCCAATGGAACAAACAATAAACTGCACAGCTTAAACCTAAAAGATAATGTCATAAACAGTTGTCTTTGTTCTCAAAAGAAGTTTGAGTTTGAAGTATTTCTTTCAAGTTTCGTCCCCTGTTGTATGACTCGCTGAATTCTCTGCAGTAAAACACGAACATAAACAACCCCTTCTGTTGTTCCAGTTTAACAAGAAACTTCGCAATTTATTTTAACACTAACTAGAAGAATCGTGTAAAGAAAAAAAAACTACCTAAATTACGTACATATTTATCAAGATGTCTTTTATTAACGTGTGGAAACGATTATTACTATATACAGACCGACAACTTCTTTGTATAAAGTTAAGACTCTTGGGCTTTCCTGGTTTCAACACTTCAAGGGAGCATAACAAGCTCTTAAAAATATAGATTACAAGATCCCAAACGATGCTTTACAAAACAATTAGAAAGAGAACTACTGATATGACAGACAATTAACGATTCATTGTAGTATTCATTATAAGACGATAGAATCACTAAAAAATTAAATTGATACCAAAGAAAAAAAATCACAAATGATAATCCAACAATCTTTGGTCTTGTTGTGCTTCAAAACATCCTCAAACACATGAATTACCAATCTAACATCCAAATTTTCTACTACTGCATAATATATCACTCCAGTTATATTACACAGAAGTGGGCACCATTAATAATCACATGATAAGGTTCTGCAAAGGAATTAAATAACATCCTTTCCCAATAATTCTAGATTATCTACACTTCTTCTATCAATTGATAACAACAAGTGGGAGTTTAAGAAGTATGGCCACTAGAATTTACCGTTGGTGTACAGTGAATGGGAGTTTCAGAAGTATGGTCTGTTGGTTGAAGGTCCTTGTCCTCTCTCTGCTATCATCGACGTTGAAAAGAAAGATTATAATGTCTACTTATGTTCCTTCAATTTTCGTTCAGAAAATATGAAAATAGAGGACTCAAACTTTGTTTTTGTTCTCATCTCTCTTAGGTTTCCTTGAAAGAAATGAAATGTAATTGGAGATTCCACATCATAAATAAAAAAATAATATCTCTTCCATCTCAAATCCTAAATTGAACAAAATACCAATTTATCTGAAAACCTTAGGAATCAACTGAGTTGAAATCAAATGAAATTGAACTTCAATTAAGCACATTACACACTCAAAGAGAGAGAGAGAGAGAGAGCGCGCACCAATTAAAGATGAAGGACATCAAGGCGGTGGTAGCGTAGAGTCTGTGCGATCCTCATTTTGCAATTTGGGGCTTAGGGTTCTTTGAATAGCGCGAAAGAAAAGAAATGAAAATCTAGTGGAGTGTATGGCGCTTTTTTATTTCGGATATATCCGCCAAATTTGTAATACCCATCGACCGGATATCTAAATATCAATGAGCCGTATATTATCCTTTTTTAATTGTAGAATTAAAAAGTATCATTAACGACCGGAAATATATTTGGCCTTTAAAAGTATACTTATAACGCCCGGATCCACGTCCCTTCGTTAGAAAATGGTCGTTAAAAGCCAAGTTTCTTTTAGTGTCTCCCGGCCTGGGATGTGGCTGCAGCAAGGGGAAGCAACCCTACCTGAGCCAAGGTGGTGTACATGCTCATGAACTGAGCCAAAGTCTCCTGGAGCGCTGGAGTAGTAGTGGCAGTAGTACGTGTGCCAGTTGCCTGGGCTCCGGCTGGACCTGCTGGTGGTACCTCGGCGGCAGCTCACGCAGGAGCGCTGGCTGCACCACGTGCGCGTCCTCGACCTCGCCCCCGGCCCCGGCCTCTGACGGCTGCAGTAGGGGGCGCGGGTGCCTGATCATCTTGAGTAGTGCGTGTCCTCACCATCTGTGAGAGAATAGAAGTCAGAAGTTTAGAAATGATGCCAAAATATCGCACGACAAGGAATTCAAATGGAATTAAGATTTCTTTCCTAAACAGTTACATAGCCTCTCGTAGATAAGTACAGACGTCTCCGTACCGATCAGCGAGACTCTAATAAACCGGCCTGTGTTTCGTGACTCCTATGAACCTAGAGCTCTGATACCAACTTGTCACGACCCCAGTTCACCCTCCATGAACATGTCATGATGGCACCTAGTTCCTACAACTAGGTAAGCCTAACAATGCGGAAATAACAACCTAACTTGCGAAATGGTAAAATAAAGCTAGACATATTAAAATAATAACTGCATATAAGGCCGCTCAGCCTATACAACTCAAAACAGAATGCGGAAGTCTACAACTCAATCCCAAAATCCGGAAACTCACGGGAACCACAGGCTAATAGAAATATTATAAATGCTCTAATCTCCAGAATGTCTACATCAAAAGTATGATAGAATCTAAACACTATAGATAGAATAAGGAAGGAGACTCTTCGGTCTGCGGACGCTGCAGATATACCTCGAAGTCTCCGTAGCTCTTTTCGCCTCAAGGATAGTGTGCCTGAGTGGAGGTACCTGGATCTGCACATGAAAGACATGCGCAGGAAGGGCATGAGTACACCACAGCGGTACTCAGTAAGTGCCAAGCCTAACCTCGGTTGGGTAGTGACGATGAAGGTCAGGGCCCTACTGAGGCTAAACAATATAATATAAATCAACAATATGAAAATAGGCAGTAACAGTGAGTACAACAGTGGAATAAGACAAACTAAACAAAGCAATAACAAATACACAAAGAACGGAGCAAACATAGAATAAGTACAGCTCAATACCAATGGTAACAAAGAGGATCTCCCAGGATACCGTCCTGTAGTCCTTTTCTCAACTGTCCAGTGGATCTCCCGGGATACCGTCCCGTAGTCCATCGTAAGTGTATATCCGAAGGATCCCCCAGGATACCTTCCCGTAGTCCAACTATCAATGTGCAGGGGGGATCTATCGGGAATCTAACCCGCAGTCCCAAAGAAAAATTGCAGGGGGATCTATCGGGAATCGAACCCGTATTCCCAAAGTAAACAAACAGGGGGAGCTACCGGAATCTCATACCGTAGTCCCAATGTAAATGCGCAACCACAACCAGAAGATACTAAGAAAGGAAGTACAAAGACAAGCAATAGGTAGTACTAGCCTAGCATGCTTCACGTAGTACAGTCAAGACAACTTAAACAATTAGGAAAGTTGGATCAACTAAACATGCTTTTCTAATCTAACACAGGTTATAATTACAAGTACAATAAAGCAAATATGAAAAAAACTCAATCACCATATCTTAAGTAAAATCGGATTTTCAACAATTGGCTCAAGTACGCGCTCGTCACCTCGCGTACAAGGCACTCAAATTACCAAATAACAATATCCTAAGGGGAAAGGTCCCCCACACAAGGTTAGACAAGCCACTTACCTCGAACCGGCTCAAAATCAACTAGAAATCACGCCTTTGCCACGAGTATCCGACTCCAAATGGCCAAAATCTATTCAATTCAATTACATATTGTGAATAACATCGCAACCAACTGGTTTTACTATTAAATTCAAAGCTACGACGTGAAATTAGGTAAAATGACCGAAATGCCCTTCATGCCAACGCCTCGAAATCGAATAATTTTCATATTTTCAGAATCCTCGTACTCTCATGAGTCTAACCATATTAAAATCTCCCAAATCGGAGGTCAAACACCCACTCAAAAATCCAATAGTTTAGCCTATGAAGTTTCACCCAATTTTCCAATTTTTGATCCCAAATTCGAATTTTAATGATGGATTTAACTACAAAATGATGAAATATAACTAGAAGGGATTAAAGAAACGTCACCCAATAGTCTTCTCTTCAAAACCCTCTGAAAATCGCCCTTCCCCGAGCTCAATTTGATTTTTCTAACTTATGAAATCTAACCCTCGAAATTTCTATATTTGCAGAGGCATTTCCGCTTCTGCGGACAAGGGACCGCTTCTGCAGTCCCGCTTCTGCGGAACAAGAGCCGCTTCTGCGGTTTCATTAAAAAGGCAGGGACCGCATCTGCGATAAAAAGGTCGCAGGTGCGACACCGCATTTGCGGGTGAACATCCGCTTCTGCGGAAACTAAGGAGATACAGGAGCCCGCATCTGCGATGCCTGAGCCGCTTCTGCAGCTCCGCTTCTGCGAGAATAGTACCGCTTCTGCGGTTTCTGAGGGAAAGGGGCAAAGCCGCTTCTGCGTCCACTTAGCCGCTTCTGCGGCGCCGCATCTGCGATTCCCAAGCCGCAGATATGAAAATACCAGAAGAGGAACACTTCAGCTGCTGCAACACTTCAAAATTCTTCCGCTAACCACCCAAAATCACCCCGAGTCCCCCGGGACCTCAACCAAAAGCACCAATAACACCTAATACCTCATTCAAACTTGCACCAATCCTTAAACACCTAAAACAACGCCGAAAACTCGAATTAAACAAGGATTTGAGCCTAAGAACTTCAATTTTTATCAAAATACGCTTTCGATAAAAAACCTAACCAAAACACGTCCAAATGACCTGAATTTTGCACATACATCCCAAATGACATGACGGAGCTACTGGAACTTCCAGAATTCCAATCCGACCCTCGAATCAAAAACTCACTATCGGACTGGAAACTTCAAAAATTCAAACTTCGGCATTTCAAGCCTAAATGAGCTACGGACTTCCAAAATACATTCCGAACATGCTCCCAACCCCGAAATCACCTAACGGAACCATCGGATTTCCATTCTGAGGTCGTCTTCACACTGTTCTGACTACGGGCCACTTTTCAACACTTAAGCTCTCATTTAGGGACTAAGAGTCCCAAAACTCTCCGAAACTCAACACCGAACGTCCCGGCAAACCAAAATAGCAGAAATGAACTTAGGGGAAGCAGTTAGTAGGGGATTAGGGCGTTAATTCTTAAGACGACCGGCCGGGTCGTCACATGGTCCTTATTATTTTCTATAGATATGAAGTGTTCTCGAGTTCCTATAGCATTTTTCTTTAAAGGTTTTCTGCTTTCCTTACTGTTAATTGATCCTAATGTTCCTAATAACTAGGGTTTTCACCTCGTCTGTTTCCGCAAACCTTTTTCTAAAACTCCTATGTGTTTGATTAACTTTTGTTCCAATGATTTCTTTCATAACCGTGTTCCAGTCTTAGTTTGTTTGATGGCTTCATTACTCGCTTCAATATTTACCTATTATTTTTGAATAATTGAATGATTAACCAAACCGTCTAGGGTTTGAAAGGGTTTCATTTTACTGAGATGATTACTTACTCTAATTTTGTCTGCTTTCTTAGTTTGGTACTCCTAATTGACGTTAATTGCCTTAATTGTTCCTATTAAGCTTAATTTAGGGAGTGGTTGTCTTACCAACCCCCAGATTGGGCTCTAATTTATTTGGGTTACCTTATTTGTGTGATTAATTGCCCTGTTGCTTGCCGTATTTTCAGTGTTCTAACTCTAATTGGCTATCAGACTACCATTTGCCTTATTCAGACCTCAATTCCGAATTATTTTGGATACAATCTGATAAGTTGGTATTTTACCAACTTATCTCTTCTTAATACTTAGGCGTTTGTATGATTTTGATGAGAAGTTAAGGCATTTTCTGAGGTTTATTGGCATATTTCAGGTATCATATGATTTGGAGAAGGTATAGAAGAAAATAAGTCAAAAAGTGCTAAAAGGGGAAAAATGGACCACTGCCAGTGATTACACTGTGCGATCGCAGGGAACTGTATGCGATCGCACAAGTCAACGACAGCAAAGCAATGCGAACGCGTGTAAACAAGTGCGAACGCAAAGAAGGAAGCCTAGTCAGCGGCTGGTCAACTGAGCTATGCGAACGCGTGACACTGTATGCGATCGCATAGCTTGGAGAAATCATTCACCGCGAACGCAATAGTACATATGCGAACGCATAGTGTATTTTCTGGGCCGTTCTGGGCAAAAATGGAATTTCACGTTTTTAATCCCCAAAAATTTTTATACACGACCTAGCAGATCTTTTGGCATATCTTTGGCTTATTTTCAGTCTCTCAACACTAGAAAGAACAAGTTTTGGAAGCTAGGGTTTGCACACACATTGGGTTTTGAAGATTTCAGGCTTGTGGTTAAGGATTTATTACCTATTTATATTTATTTCTTCATTTTCTTGTTTTGTATTGAATATTTAAGTGTGTAGCATTTATTTCCAACACTTGAATCTTATTTATGGAAATATTCATAATTAAAGTGTGGATTAAATACCTTGTTGTGCTTATGTATTGAATGATTTTCATTTATTTATGAAGTGAGTTGTTGTTTCTTTAAATATTCTTGTTCTTTAATGTTTCCAAAGGGATTAGCTAACCCTAGGACTCGCCCATTTACTCCGAACTAATTTTGAAAAAGATAATTTGGGGTTGGAAAAGATTAATTAACAA